GAACCGCAGCACGCCAGGCCTCCCTGTCCATCACCAAGTCCCGGAGTCCACCCAAACCCATGTCCATTGAGTCGGTGATGCCATCCAACCATCTCATCCTCTGTCGTCCCCTTCTCCTCCTGCCCCCAATCCTTCCCAGCATTAGGGTCTTTTCCAATGAGTTAACTCTTCACATCAGGTGGCCAAAGCATTGGAGTTTCAGCTTCAACATCAGTCCTTCCAATGAACACCCAGGACTGATCTCCTTTAGGATGGACTAGTTGGATCTCCTTGCAGTCCAAGGGACTCTCAAGAGTCTTCTCCAACACCACAGTTCAAAAGCATCAATTCTTCCGTGCTCAGCTTTCTTTATAGTCCAACTCTCACATCCATACATGACCACTGGAAAAACCACAGCCTTGACTAGACGGACCTTTCTTGACAAAGTAATGTCTCTGCTTTTTAATATGTTGTCTAGGTTGGTCATAACTTTCCTTCCAAGGAGTAAGCATTTTTAAGTGTACCATACAAGATTTTAGCAATAAGGGAAACTGAGGGGTGATGGAAGGAGATGGAAGGGAACTCCAGGACTTTCTGCTCAATTTTTCCATAAATCTAAAACTGCTCCAAAAAGTGAAGTCTAATTAATTTTTAAAGTTTTTAAATAAATAAGAATAGTAATAAACTATAAACATTGAATAAATTAAGAATCTATAAATCCATGTTGTTGCTGTTGTTATTGATCAAGTCATGTCCGACTCTTTGCTACCCCATAGATGGCAGCACACCAAGCCTCCCTGTCCAGTATCTCCCAGAGTTCCCTCAAGTTCATGTCCATTGAGTCAATGATGCTATCTAACCATCTCATCCTCTGCCACCCTCTTCTCCTTTTGCCTTCAATCTTCCCCATAATCGGGGTCTTTTCCAATGAGTTGACTCTTTGCATCAGGTGGCCAAAGTATTGGAGCTTCAGCATCAGTCCTTCCAATGAATATTCAGGGTTGATTTCCTTTGGGGTTGGCTGGTATGATCTTCTTGAAGTCCAAGGGACTCTCCAGAGTCTTCTCCAGCACCACAGTTTGAAAGCATCAATTCTTTGGCACTCAGCCTTTTTTAAGGTCCAACTCTCCCATCCATACATGGAACTACTGGAAAAAACCATAGCTTTGACTATCCAGACCTTTGTTGGGAAAGTGCTATCTTTGTTTTTTATACACTATCTAGGCTTTACATAACTTTCCTTCCAAGAAGCAAGTGTCTTCTAATTTCAGTGGCTGCAGTCACCATCCACAGTGATTTTGGAGCCCAAGAAAAGAAAATCTGTCACTGCTTCTAGTTTTTCCCCATCTATTTGCCATGAAATGATGGGACCAGATGCCATGATGTTAGTTTTCTGAATGTTGAATTTTAGCCAGCTTTTCCACTCTCCTCTTTCACCTTCATCAAGAGACTCTTTAGTTCCTCTTCACTTTCTACCATTAGAAAGTGAAGTATCATCTGAATGAGATGGTTGGATGGCATCACCAACTCAATGGACATGAGTTTGAGCAAACTCTGGGAGATGGTGAAGGACAGGGAAGCCTGGTGTGCTGTAGTGCATGGGGTGGAAAAGAGTCAGACATGACTTAACAACTGAACAACAATCTGCATATCTGAGGTTGTTGATATTTCTCTGGGAAATCTTGATTAGAGTTTATAAGTCATCCAGCCTGGCATTTCTCATGATATACTCTGCATGTAAGTTAAATAAACAGGGTGACAATATACAACCTTGCTGTACTCTTTTCCCAGTGAATCCATACTGATAATAAATGTAAAGAAGAGAAATCTCTCTCCAACAATGTGTCAATCAATACTTGCATTTAGAGAGACAGAGTTGAAAATGACCATTTCCCCCATCAGAGTAGACTGTTTCAGCCAGAGATCATGAAAGGATGTTCTTTCCAGATGTAAAAGTTTGTTAAGAGCTGAGTATTTGCAGGATCTCAGGGCATCTCTCCACAGATTATTGTGAGGAGGCAATAGGACATTGGATAACACCTTGATCATCTGCTCAAAATTAGCATCATCAATTAGGCACTAAGGAACATAGTGTGGCTTCAGGTGGAATATCAGAGGACACAACACAATTTACACAGTATTCCATCCAGGAATGTGTTGTTATTACTGTTTAGTTGCTAAGTCATGTCTGACTTGTAACTCACCAGGCTCCTCTGTCCATGGGATTTCCCAGACAAGAATACTGAAGTGGATTGCCATGCCCTTCTCCAGAGGATCTTCCCAACTCAGGGATTGAACCAGTGTCTCTTAAGTCTACTGCATTGGCAGACACATTCTTTACTGTTAGCACCACCTGGGAAGCTCCAAAATACCATGCTCTATAGAAAAACTGCAAGTGTCACTGATGCCAAATCTCAGCCTCTGTATATACTGGCATTGGATTACATTTTGGAGACAGAGTTTGCAATGAAACAGAAAGAAAGGGCTTTATTGCTTTGCCTGGCAAAGGGGGCCACAAGGAGCTAAAGCCCTCAAGACTCTGTGCCCCTCCCTGGTGGAAGGAGATGGAGGAGTCTTATCGTGTTCTAGGAGCAGGGTGTGATTCACTTACGGACATTCTTCTGGCTGGTTGGTGGTGAGGAAATCGGGGGTCAGCATCATCAACATTCAGTTCCAAAAGGTCTGTAGTCTATGTGCTTGTGGGCAGCTTACGGTTAACTTCTTCCACCCAGTGGGGATTTCAGTATCTGCAAAACAGCTCCAAGGACGTGGCTCAGAATATTATCTATAGTCCCTGAGGAAGAACTAAAGGTCTTTGACTTTAATGGCTAAAGTATTAATACTACTATTTTGTCTTGCTTGACTGTTTTCCTTCCTTTCTGCATTTTCTCACCTCTCTGGCCAATTTTATTCTTTGACCAAAGTTTTTCTACAGACAAAGGGCAGGTGGAGAACACAGAAGTTGGGGCTGTACTCTGGGAAGGCCTCACAGGGTCCTGCTCAGTTATCTACCCTCAGATGGATTGTATTGACTTGCATTAAAGGGGTAAGAGAGGTTCTAGGTTAAGGTTACAAAGCTAGCACCACACAGGAAATTAGTTCATGCTTCACCCAGAGACAAACTTTTACAGCAAGTAAGTTGAAAATGAAGTGCACAAAGTAACACAGGGTGTCATGCTTGTGGTCATGTTTTTTAACTCAATTTTATTAAAATACAATTCAAACTTTACAGTTATTGTATTAAGATGGGAAAGACCATGAAAGTCTTCTGTGCCATGCAAATACTGTCAACTTAAAGCTGAATTGTGGTTTTATAAAATATGACTGACCTTTCTTTAACAAGTGGAAAACATTAGCATGCCATGTGGCAATACTGAAAAACAAAGCATTAAATCGCCTAAAATTGTTTTTTTTTTTTTTTAAATTCTGGGTGGGAAAAGATACAGAGATGAGAAACCAGGCTAAGCTAGTTTCCTTTATAAATCTAATATTTTATTAGATTTATAAGCCTCCAAGTCTATATTAGATTTATAAAACCCTAAGTGTATGTAGGTATCTTGATGTGGTGTTAATATCTTATTCTGCTACCACTTCAAAGAATTGTAGAGATAATGAAAAATAGACGCGATGGTGATTTTTAAGTTTTTTCTTAAAAAGTTTTTTAAATGTAAGGCATTGTGGCTGTTATTCCTAATAACTTTGAAAATCAAAAGAAACTCTATAGGTATTCACTAAATATAACCCTTGCATTCAAAAATGCATTTGGAAGTACTTCCATTTGAATGTGATTCTCATTGCCAGATGCTACGTGCATCTAAAAAACCTCTTCAGTAGAGTCACTCAGTTGTGTCTGACTTTGCGACCCCATGGACTGCAGCACGCCAGCCTTCCCTGTCCATCAGAACTCCCAAAGCTCGCTCAAACTCATGTCCTCGAGTCTGTGATGCCATCCAACCATCTCATCCTCTGTTGTACCCTTCTCCTGCCTTCAATCTTTCCCAGCATCAGGGTCTTTTCAAATGAGTCAGCTCTCTACATGCCTAGGCTTAATTCTGGACACACCTACACAGTTAATTCTTGCTTGGGAAAACCCATGGACAAAGAAAGGAGCCTGGTGGGGTACAGACCATGGGGTCGCTGAAGAGTTGGACACGACTTAGCAACTAAACATCAATAAGCCTTGGCTCACAGAAAGAGAAAGTGAAGTCGCTCAGTCGCGTCCGACTCTTTGCCACCCCGGGGACTGTACCATCCTACCAGGGTCCTCCACCCACGGAATATTCCAAAGCAAGAGTACGGGAGTGGGTAGCCGTTCCCTTCTTCAGAGGATCTTCCCGACCTGGGGATCCAACCCGGGTCTCCCGCATTGCAGGCAGCCAGATTCCCGTCTGCGCCACCAGGGAAGCTCTGCACTCAGGAAATGGCTTGACCCGCTCGGAGCGTCTTCATTCCTTCCTCCCTTAGCCTCCCCGACACCACTCCCCCCAGGCTCCTCAGTCCGCGACAAAGCCCCCCCAGCCACCCCGCCTTGCCCCTAGGTCCGAGAGCGCACCAGGGTGCCCTCCCGCTGCCACTAACAGGAAGGGCGGACAGCGGGCCTCGAGGTTTGCGCAGGCGCACTGGCGACCTCCGCGGTCCCGCCAGGGGTCAAGGCCTCCAGTGAGGCGCGGTCTTCCCGGAACCCGACGTAGCACAAACGAGTGAGCAGTCACTGCCGGGAACCAGGGGGCGGGAGGCGGAGGAGAGGCCACCCCGATCCCCTGACCCGCTCCTTGCTGTCCCACGCGCCTGCGCGGACAGGGACACGCATGATGACGGCACGGCGCATGCGCGGGGGGTCGGAGGGCTGAGGGAAGGGCCGGCGCGAGGTGGGCGGGGCCAGAGCGGCTCGAGGGGACGCGGCGAACGTGGGCCGCTGGCCTTGGCGGGACGGCCTGGGCGCCTCAGTCTCCGTCGCGCTGTGCCGGCGGCGGTGGTGGGTGGCCGAAGGATGTGACTGGAGGGCTGCCGGCGGCCAGCAGACGATGCTCGCGCTCCTGGGCGCGACGACCCTGATGCTGGTCGCTGGGCGGTGGGTGCTGCCAGCCGCTTCAGGTGAGAGAGAGGGGTCCCGGCCCTGCCTCGTCAGCTGGACTGCGGCGGCGGCGGCAGCGCGGGAAACCTTGGCCCTGGGGACGGGGGTGGAGGGACAGACGCCCTCGGTGGGAGACCTCTGGTTGTCCGCGGTCGCAGCGCCTTATTGAAACGGACTCAAAAATCAAACTTCAGTTTCAGCCGCTCAGTCGTGTCCGACTCTCTGCTACCCCATGGACCGCAGCATGCCAGGCCACCCGGTCCTTCACTATCTCCGGGAGCTTACTCAAACTCTTGTCCATCGAGTCGATGATGCCATCCAGCCGTCTCATCCTCTGTCGTCCCTTTCTCCCGCCTTCAATCTTTCCCAGCCTCAGGGTCTTTTCTAAGGAGTCAGTTCTTCAAATCAGATGGCCAGAGGATTGGAGTTTCAGCATCCGTCCTTCCAAAAATGAAAGAACAGAAAGTGATGTTCGAAATTCTTCCCCAGCCGCTTGCTCGGGGGCGCCGTCGTCGCCACCCCTGCCTGCCTGTGCCTGCTGCCTGCCCCCAACCCCCGCAGGGCTGGGTGTGCACATCTCTGGTGACCAGTTTGTTTCCTTCCGAAAAGTCAGGCAGCTCCACTGCCCCGTTTCATAATAAACAAGGCTTAGAGCTGCGCTGCTGGTCTCCTCCGTTCAGTAGACAGTTCTTGATCCCACGGGTAAATGCCCAGTAAGGTGTGCAAGGATTTCTGTGCCCTCAGGATTCAATCAGTCTAATAATAATAATAAAAATATGGCCAAATAGGAAGGCTGGGAGCCACCAAGCTAATTTGCCGCCTTTCTTAATTTAGCGGGGAGATACATGGGGGAAATAGCAGCTATTATAAGATTGACTTTGTAGGGAGAAGAAATACCAAAGACAAACAGGGCCTCGCAACAAAGCAGAAATCCGGGAGTTGGTGAGGCCACCTGCATGCTTGCTAAGTCACTTCAGCCCTGTTCAACTCTTTGTGACTTCATGGACTGTAGCCCACCAGGCTCCTCTGTCTGTGGGTTTCTCCAGGCAAGAATACTGGAATGGGTTGCCATGCTCTCCTCCAAGGGATCTTCCCAACTCAGTATCTTTAGCTACATTGGCAGGTAGGTTCTTTACCACTAGTGACACCTGGTAAGCCTAGTGGCTTAAATACTTATTTGCTTTGAAAATCATACCCTGATTTTCTGGGGTACATGGTATCCTATCTATCTTGTCCAAAAAATATGTTTTTACCAACATAACGGGTTTCTTCCAGAATAGCAGAGGAATTGCAATTTAGGGCAAGCAAGCTTATAGCAAGGGCTTCCCAGATGGCTCACTGGTAAAGAATCCACTTGTCAGTACAGGAGCCATGAGTTTGATCCCTGGGTCGAGAAGATCCCCTGGAGAAGGAAAGGGCAGCCCTCTCCAGTGGGCTGGGAAAATCCCATGGACAGACGAGCCTGGTTGGCTACAGACCACCTAATCACGAGTCAGATACAATTTAGTGACTAAAAACAACAAGAAGCTACAGCAAAAACCATAGCCAAGTCCAACAAGGAAAGGAGAAGAACATTACTTTATAGAGCAAAAGAAGGAAGTTGGGAGGGTTGTTTTAAACGAAATTCCATTGATTGAAGGTGAGAGTTCCGGGTCGTGCTATTTTTCGAATTGTCTGCACTGGTTGCTGGGAGAGAATTTTTCCTTTTGGAGTCTGGAATTACTGGTGAGTGAACATACTTGAGGGCTCTGGCTTCTGGCCTCCTGACTTCATTTTAAATGAGGTTTCCTTTACTATGTTTCACACCTATTTTTCAGACTGTCTCACAAATATAGTATATAATATATGGGTTCTAGGGTCCTGGTGTAACCCCTGATAATTTCTTTGGAGTTTTTTGTTCATGAATATTTTGCATTAACTCATGTTTGCTTTCATATCAAAAGAATTTCCCCAGAATTTTCATGTAAAATTAACATTCCAGGAAGCTGTTCATTAGATCATAATTTTTTAATCTATATTAGAGGAGAGCTAAAGTAAACTTCATACACAACTGGCATTTTTTGCTCTCAACTACGTACCAGACACTACTCTTAAGTGTTTTATTATTTTTTTTTGTAATCCAGATAATATTTTATTTTTTCCCCATTTATTTTTATTAGTTGGAGGCTAATTACTTTACAATATTGTAGTGGTTTTTGCCATACATTGACATGAATCAGCCATGGATTTACATGTGTTCCCCATCCCGATTCCCCCTCCCTTAAGTGTTTTAAAAGTACAAACTCATTTAGCTTTCAGAATAAAGCTGAGCACCATTATCCTCATTTTATAGAGGAGCAGGCTGAGGTCATATAGCTAGCCTGTGCTTTAGGGGTAAATCAGACCCTGAAAATCTGGCCCCAGAGCCCTGGGGCTTATGGCTAGCTATTTTCTGAAGACCACACAATTTGGTCTTGATTATCCACCTGTATGTTAAGGACTTAGTTCTCTTTCAATTAACTAATCTACTTTTTTCACAAAGAAAGAGTGATGTTCAAAACTAAATGTAATGTTAACCGTGACCTGAGATCATAATATTGCTGTGTTTCAAAGTAATCAAAATATTTGTACTTTCAAACCTAGTAAATGCAGCTCTGAGATCCTAGTCTAAGAAAACTGTCCAAAATATGGTAGGAAATTTATATTTGTATAGATGGTATGTGTTTGGGTTTATGTCAGACTTGAAAATACAGTAAACTGTTTCTAGTCATCAGTAGGAGTCTGAAGGGCTGGAAACAACCAATTGTATAAAAAGTATTGGATTACATGCCCATTTAGGGCTTCCCTGGTAGCTCAGTACATAAAGAATCCGCCTGCACTTCGGGAAACTCAGGAGACTCAAGTTCGATCCCTGGGTCAGAAAGATCCCCTGGAGCAGGGTGTGGCAACCCACTTCAGTATTCTTGCCTGGGAAATTCCATGGACAGAGGAGCCTAGCGGGCTACATGGGGTCACAGAGAGTCAAACACAACTGAAGCAACTGAGCACACATGCATGCAGCTCCCCATTAATATATTTTACATGCTAAAGGTTGAAGTAAACTATTAGTAAAGGGCTGTTGCTAATATTTTACTGAGCCACTAGGGAAGTCCAATAGAACAAAATCTATGAACTCTAAAATCTTATTTAATAACTATTTCCAAGTCCCTGTCCATGCATGGTAGCTCAGCTGGTAAAGAATCTGCCTGTAATACAGGAGAACCGGGGTCAATTCCTGGGTTGGGAAGATCCCCTAGAGAAGGGAATGGCTACCAGTTCCAGTATTCTTGCCTGGAGAATCCCATGGACATTTGTTGGTCTCGTAAAAGCCAAGATGCCTGTAACTCCAGGGTCTCCTTCCATTAGAACAGAAGGATTTCATCCCTAAGGAAATGTCTGGGTGTACCCTGGGTATCAGATTTCCTAATCCTCTCTCAAGGCCAAGAACTACTACAATTAGAGTATTCTGGGCTGGAGACTAAAAATGCCATCAAACCTTTTATTAACGCCATAAACCCAGTTGCTCTCTTTTGGCTGCATAAAATCTAAAAATCCAACAGCTTGGCATGGAATTAAGTTTAGAGTGTGATAAAGGGAAGTAATTCTATTTGGTAATGAAGCCTCGGAGAATACAAGTGTAAAATACGTAATTGAGGGTGGGGAGACTCAATAAATACTTCCCCAAATTAAAAAAAATTCAGAAAATGTTTTCTCAGGCATCTCCCTCTTTGACTCCGTACCGTAATAACTCTTAACTGGAAAGTAGAGGCAGCAGTCCATTTTTTTAAAGTTTTTTTTTTCAGTTCAGTCGCTCAGTCGTATCCAACTCTTTGCGACCCGATGGACGCCAGGCCTCCTTGTCCATCACCCACTCCTGGAGTTTACTCATACTCATGTCCATTGAGTCAGTGATGCCATCCAACCATCTCATCCTCTATCGTCCCCTTCTTCTCCCACCTTCACTCTTTCCCAGCATCAGGGTCTTTTCCAGTGAGTCAGTTCTTCACATCAGGTGGCCAAAATATTGGAGTTTCAGCTTCAGCATCTGTCCTTCCAATGGATATTCAGGACGGGTTTCCTTTAGGATGGACTGGTTGGATCTCCTTGTTGGATCTCCCAACACCACATTTCAAAAGCATCAATTCTTCGGCACCCAGCTTTCTTTATAGCCCAACTCTCACATCCATACATGACTGGAACAATGTATTTCTTTGTGTATATATTTATTTTCATGTTTTTTAACACCAGAAACATTTTATATTGGGGTGTAGCCGATTATCAGTGTTGTGATAGTTTCAGGTGAGCAGTGAAGGCATTCATCCGTACATACTCCCGTTCTTCCCCAAACCCCTCCTCCTACCCAGGCTGCCACATGACATCGAGCAGTGCTCCGTGTGCCATACAATAGAACTTTGTTGGTTATCCACCCCTATAGTAGAAAGTCTGTAAGGAGATAGCATCCTTGTCCTGTGGCAGAAATACTGTATGATAAATTTCAATTTATCATAGTGAAAGATCAGTCTTCTGTGATGTGGAAAAAGTTCTTGTAAACTCAGCATTAGTCTGAGGACACTGAGATATGCCGATTAAGTTTGAAGCTATATAGACCCTGCCTTAAGGAACTTGCATTCTGGTTAGAAGTTGTGTTAAACATAAGGAAGCAGTTTTTAAAAAGACATCTTCACCTTCACGCATCAAGTTTTGGGAGCCTACTAGATGTCAGTACCATGCTGAGTACATCTGCTTCAGTGTAAAATTGAGTGGTGCAGATTGATGGTGCAGAGTGTGAAAAGAAAGCAAGGCTGGCATTTGCTGCAGTGTTTGAGAAAGGTTTTCTCTCGGAGGGCAAGCTTGAGCTGGGTCTTGGAGGGTTTGGGTGGTCAGGAAGAGAAAAGCTGTTTGGGTGGGGGGCCAAAAAGGAAGAGCCAGAAGAGAGAGAGCGTCCAGCCAGCGGCAGCTTTGTCCTAGAAGCATAAATATAAACATGTACATGTCACCAAGTCATGTGCTGTCCACCTGAAACTAACACAGTATGGTAAATCAACTATACTTCACATTTTTTTAACAGTATAGGAAATGAAATAGGTCTCTAGATGGAAATCTGTAAAATAAACAGAAGGGCTCAGACTTGATATGTTGAGCAGGCAAGACCTTTTCAGGGTCCTATAGGACCTGGCTGACATAATAAACTTTCATCTCTTATCAACTTTGTATGTGAATGTTTGGCTTCTGTGAATAGTTGTCAGTTCTGAAACCACATCTGTTCAGTTCTGTGTCAGAGTATATCCCTGTCTGAACACAGTATGTGAGAAAAACCAAGCTGAGGCTGTTAAACAGTCGAGCCCATATCCTTTACATCAGTATCACTTGTAAGACAAAAGAAAAATGCTATTTTTATACACAGACTTTTTTCCCAGTTAAAAGACAATTACCTTTTTACAGTTCGTTCGTTTTTGCCACCTTTATGGAGATATAATTGACATATAATATTTGCTTTTTATAGATTTTAAAAACCTCAACCAAAAAAAAAAAATAAAATAAAAACCTCAACTGTTTTCCAGTTCTCTTGAATGCAGAGGTAGATGTAATTAGCAGCTTTCCCATGCTGAGAACAAGCACTAGGTCTTTTTTAGATTTATCTTCTTAATTTTGTTATAGTTAAATGTATTCACTGTCCAGTCAGTGATGTCAAGGAAAGAATGATATTTTAAAAAATATCTATTACATGTATGTACGTATAACTGTATAGTGTGTCTGTGTAACTGTCTTCTGTCTTATTATCTTGACAGGGGAAGCAAATCTGAAGCCTGAAAATGTCGAGATCCACATCATTGATGACAATTTTTTCCTGAAGTGGAACAGCAGCAGTGAGTCTGTCAGGAATGTGACTTTTTCAGCAGATTATCAGATGTACGTTACTCTATACTCAGGGATCTGCTGAATAATTCTTATCATTGTTACACCATAAATTTTCAAATTTGGGAAACATTTGGTTTTTCCTCTTTTTTAAAGAAAATATGTGGCAGTTTCGCATAATAAGTATAACGTCTTTTTTACGATTAGAGTCTTAGTCTAAGACTTCAGACTTCATCTTCAGGTTTTGAAGCAAGAGATTTCGGGGACTGTGCTAGCAGACTTCTGTAGCCCACAACCATATCTTCTCTGTTCTGAATGCTCCAGCTTCTTTAAACAGAAATTAGGGTCTGACCTAGAGCATACCCTGAGAATATGGGAGACTGTCCCTAAAAGCCTAGCCACTGTCTTGGAATCAGCCACGAGGTCTTCTGTGGTCAGGTTTTCCTCTTTTCTCCATCATGCACAAAGTCTTAGTTCTAGATACCCTGGCTGAGTATCAGTGTACTGCGCCCTGCACTTCCACAGTGTTTCTGGAGTTTCTGCCTCCTCCCTGGGGCTAACTTTCCACCTAACGATTGCCAAGAGGATAGGCAGACGGAGTTGGCAGAAGAAAGGGTTACTGAAGGAAAGAGGAAGGTCCTAAAAGCCTGTCTGCTTACTGTGACCCCTGTCCCAAGAGCAGGCAGGGAGTCAGGCAAGAAGAAACGGTGTGGTCTCTAGAACCAGGGTTCCGCCCCTTCAGCCGCAGCCCTGCTGTTCTCTGCATGTGTGTGCTCTCAGTTGCTCAGTGTCCAGCTCTTTGCAACTCCACAGCCTGTAACCCGCCAGGCTCCTCTCTCCATGGGATTTTTGTAGGCGAGAAGACTGAAGCGGGTTGCCATTTCCTTCTCCAGAGGATCTTCTTGACCCAGGAATTGAGCCCGCATCTCCTGTCTCCTGCATGGGCAGACAGATTGTTTACCACTGAGCCATGTGGGAAGCCCCAGTTGTTCTCTAGTTGATTGTGAATAAGCTGTTAGTGTGTGTGTGTGTGTGTGTGTGTGTGTGTGTAGCCAACCCTTGAACAATGGCGGGAACAGGGGTGCCTAACCCACTGCTTCTACCCACTGCCCCTGCTGGCTGCAGTCAGAAATCTGAGTATAACTTCACAGTAGACTCTTCATATCTGCATCCATGGATTCACCCACCCCTAGATCTTAGAATACTGTAAAGTGTGTATTTAGTGAAAGAAATCTGCGTGTAAGTGGGCTCGCATAGTTCAGACCCATGTTGTTCAAGGGTATATATGTATACACACACTATATATTGTTTTCCTCAGAACTGATCATGTAAAATTTTTCATCTCTAGAAATTTTCTTTAAATTGAACTTTGAGTTTTGTTACCAATTTTATTCTTTGCCTTAATTCTATATTAAACTATTTTTTAGGCATAATGGAGATTATTTCATATTCCTTTATTTAAAATGACCCTTGTATTAAAAGAGCAGAGCCATAGACAGTGATCTCATGTTCTTGTTGCTTCACACATTCTGTTGCTTTTATTAACTTCTCTAATTCATGATAATCTCTTACTCTTCGTTCTGACTTTGGTCCAGGGCACTGTTTCAGTGTTCTTATTCTGTTCTTTCTCTTTTCTGTTCTGCTAGCTCTATAAGCACTTGCCTTGTAAGAATATGCCAGGTTACAAGTTTGGAGAGCCAGTTCAGCAGTTAGTATGGTATAGTGTAGTATGAGCTTGAGCCAGGCTTGTTGAGTTGCTCAGTCGAGTCCAACTTTTTGCAATCCCATGAACTGCAGCACACCAGGCTTCCCTGTCCTTCACTATCTCCCTGAGTTTGCTCAAATTCATGTCTATTGATTCTGTGATGCCATCCAACCATCTCATCCTCTGTCACCCACTTCTCCTCCTACCCTCAGTCTTTCCCGGCATCAGGGTCTTTTCCAATGAGTCGGTTCTGCTTGGGTTTTAGTCCATCCTCTGCTACTTACTCTAGCAGTTTCCTTATCTGTGAAGTAAAGATAAACAACTCATATGACCACATGTAATTTATCTTTCAAACCAAGATACTTCTGAGAGTGAACAGAAGCACTTGATTTTATATAAGCTGCAACAACAGATTTAAAGCAGGACAGTGCCAGGCAGACTGGTCTGGGACACCCCAATGATGAAGCATCTAACACAGAAGCCTGTTGCAAGTGTTGTTAATTGTGTATAAAGTACACAGAACAGTGGTACAGAGTATGTGATCAAGAAAAGTGAGGTTAATAGCAGCAGCAGACACATTTTTCAGTACAATATTTCTCAGAACATAAGACACATCACTGATGATAAATGATGCACAGACCCATGAATAAGCTACTGGGATGCCAATGCCTGTAGAATACATACCACCTAAGACATCAGTGTTTGCATTGTTATTTAGTTGCTCCGTCATGTCTGATTTTGCAACCGCCAGGACTCTAGCCTGCCAGGCTCCTCTGTCCATGGGATTCTCCAGGCAAGAATACTGGAGTGGGTTGCCATGCCCTACTCCAGGGGATCTTCCAACCCAAGGTTCAAATCCACGTCTCCTGCATTGTGGGGGGCAGATTCTTTATCGCTGAGCCACCTGGAAGCCCTCAGTGTTTGTGACTGACATCTAAAATGTATTATGACGGGGCTTCCCTGGTGGTCTAGTGGTTAAGAGTCCACGTGCAGTGCAGGGGACACTGGTTTGATCCCTGGTCTGGGAAGAGTCCACGTGCTGTGAGGCAGCTGGACCCATGCGCCACAACTACTGAGCCCACACTCGAGCCCCAGAGCCACAACCACGAAAGCCCACAGGCCGGAGACTGTGCTCACAGCAAGAGAAGCACGGCAGGGGAGCCCGTGCACCGCCACTGGAGGGCAGCCCCGCTCTCCACAGCCGGAGAAAGCCCGCAGGCAGCAGCGAAGAGCTGGCACAGCCAAAGCTTTTAAAAAGCTTTTTTCATTATAAAATGTATGATGATGTTAGGTAGCGTGGTGTGTTCATTCAACAAATAGTGATTGCCTTTTATGCCGAACACTTTCCTCAGTACTTGGGATTACATTAGTGAATAGGAGAGACAAAGATGGCATGAAGTTTTATTATGACACTGGTTTCATGAAATGAATTTTCTATTGGTTGCATATTTATTTTTCAAATTATATTTCTACTCTGATCTAAGTACTATATATGATAAAGTTTTTTTAAAAGAAAATGTAAAAGAAGCTGCAATAGCTCCCTTACATGCAGAAGCAATTATAATAGAGTGAGTAGCTGTGTCTCCCTAGGCAGGAAGGACAGACGTGGAGTGAAGGTGGGTTGAAACCATATCAGGGCTTAGGTACAAACTTTTTATAAGGTTTTCTGCTTATAATAAGAGCTCTCCAGGTAACAGGAGAAGAGATGCATTACTGGCTTTTTGCCTGGAGCTCATTTTATTTCGACCGTCTGTGCCCATGATTGAAAGAAGTCTGCACCATTCCCACTTCCCAGACGTCCTTATATCTCCTGATTTCTCTAGAACTGTATTTTCTAATAAATGACATGGGGGGTACTGAATTTTGGTTTAGATGTTTAAAATCTAAATTTTTAAAATAGATTCTGTATGGCAAAACCAATACAATGTTGTAAAATAAGTTACTTTTTAAAAAATAAATAAAAATAGATTCTGATGTAGAGAAGTTTCTCAGGAAGATTTGCATGTAAATTAAGGTATTATTACTGCTTGTGAAAGGGAAGTCACAACTTCTTGACGCAGGTCATTCTGTTTGGAAGCACTTCTTACCACTGTGATTTTTCTGTCTAAATCCAGACTTGTCCACATGTTGCGTATACAGTCTCAGGAGACTGACGTTTCTAGGCAAAGGGTCCTGAGTGAGGGAATATCATGTGTGCCGCATATGCAAACAACTGGCAATCAGGCTGCCAGTCATGATTTCCAAAAGCTTCATGAAGGATTTCTATCCAGACAAGTTATTTTTCTGAACAGAATTGTAGCAATGCCATAGCATTTTTGTTTACTCCACTGTTGTGCTGTTATTTGTGAGTTATTTTTGATAATTTAATAAAAGGTTGTGAGCATTAAAAACTTAATTAAGGTGTTATTAATGCCAAATCTAAGTAGGTAAAGTTAGAAGGGCAGACTCACCAGGAATGAAGTGTGCCCATATGGTAGTGTTTATTATTGGCAACTTCTTAAAAATGTTTCTTTTCTTTGAAAAATAAGGTATACTTGAGTTGGAGTCAGCACAAAAAAATCACTCCTAGTTTCTATTAGCTTTTAGTAAAGAACATACTTAGCTTTTTAAACAATTTTTATTTATTTTTGGCTGCACTGGGTCTTTGTCGCTGCACATGGATTTTCTCTAGTTTTGGCGAGTTGGGGCTATCTTTTTGCAGAGCACAGGCTCTAGGCATGAGGTCTTCAGTAGTTGTGGTGCATAGGTCCCAGTTGCCTTGGAAACTTCCCAGACTAGGGATAGAACCCATGTCCCCTCCACTGGCAGGCAGACTCCTAACCACTGGACCACCGGGAAAGTCCATCCTTTAGTTTTTTATTAAAGACACTTTAGCATCTTTAAAATGAGGTCTATAATGTATAAAAATGAGCTAATGCTAGAACTATGAATTAGGCTTAACAAAAATGTCTTCTCAGAGGTTAGTTTCCCTGTTTGGTATGAGGCAGACAGGGCTTTCCATAAGCAAAAATTTTGGAATCTAGTATTTGTTTTCTGTTGCTCACCTTCACTTCAGCCTCCTCTCCTCTTTGTGGCAGCATGGCCTTTTTGTTTTAGGCACCCTGTGTCAACTTGATTTCTTCAGGTGCTTTAAAAAAAAGTCCAGTATCCGTCACTTAAGCTTGCTTCTTGATGGACTGAGTCCACATTGAGAAGTTTGTTAGCTTATGTTAACATGGTAAGTTCTTTGTTTCTGGTGGTATCATAGAAGGAATTACAGAGATCAGTATGCAGAGGGATGGTTTGGTTTTGAAGAGAGCAGAGGAAATTCTCAAACCATACTGATTCTGAGGTCTTGCTTAGGGCTAGTAAATCTCTTCCTAGGAGAAGATCAGAAGGGAATCAAATCCAGTTTCCAATTTTTCAGTAAGGAAGAGAGGATCCAGAATAGAAAGCAGTTGGCCGAAAGTGACACAACTGTTTTTAACAGAGCCAACACTAAGTCTTCTTTCATCTTAAGGGTTCTTTCTCTGTTTCTTTGAAATCCTAATGCAACCACCCACAGAATTACAGAACTTTATGAAGTTAACTGTATGTTAGAATGATTCCACTGTATAAATAATAACTTGGTTGTATATGCAATGAAAAAGAGTAGTAGAATGTTACCCACAAAAATATTGTGAAAACATTAACTCAAGTAGAAGAAATAACTACTTCCCCTAGCTTAGAGCCTTCCCTAGTGGCTCCAGTGGTAAAGAATCCACCTGCCAGTGCAGGAGACACAGCAGACATAGGTTCCGTCCCTGGGTCAGGAAGATCTGGAGGAGGAAATGGCAACCCACTCCCTTATTCTTGCCTGGAGAATCCCACAGACAGAGGAGCCTGGTGGGCCACGGTTCCTGGGCTTGAAAGAGTCAGACATGACTGAGAGACTAACACACACACTAGCTTTATAATGTTAGTGTCAAAACAAAACATGTTTGTCACTCTTGTATTTATAATGTCCATTCATTCATTTGCTTTTTTATTTTGAAGACTAGGGACGGATAACTGGAAAAAATTGCCTGGGTGTCAAAATACTGCTAGTACCAAATGCAACTTTTCTTCGGTCGAGCTTAAAAATGTTTTTGAAAAAATTGAATTGCGCATAAGAGCAGAAGAAGGAAACAACACTTCTATATGGTATGAGGTTGAACCATTTGTACCATTTCTAGAAGGTAAGAAAAAGTTGCCAGCTGAGTTATATTGAATTCTTTATTAAATATTACCAGCACAGCTCACTTCCCAAGCCCATTCATTTGCATAATATAAAATCTCCCATCTTTAAAAAAAACAAAAAGAACAAAGATTCCCTTAAATTGGTATCTCCTTCCTGCTATGACTTCATTTTCCTGCTTTCCTTCTAGTGGTGGTTCTCAGAGCGTGGTCTCCAAGAGATCTATCAAGTCAAAACCATTTTCCTAATGGAAACTTACTTAATAAAACTTACTTGCCTTTTTCATCTTCATTCTGTCGTGGGTGTACCCTGGAGTTTTCTAGAGGCTGTTTGTTATGAGATGGTGACTGGTGATGGCAGAAGTAGGTGTGAGACACAGCTGTCTTCTTTATTAGGCCAGACATTAAAGAGATTTGAACAAAATGTAAGATGAACACCACTCTTCTCACTAAGTTTTTTGGCTTGTTTGTTTTGAGAAATGCAGTCATTTATTATCATGCAATAGGTTTCATCATTACTGTTTTTTAATGAATTGATAGATATTTTACATTTTTATCAATTTTGACGTCTGGTATGCTGAACATTCAAAGACACAGCCCATGTAAACAAGAGCTCTTTAGGACCCTCAGTTTCTCTTAAGAGTGTAAGGGATCCCAAGACCAGAAAGTTCAAGAACCACCACCTATTCCATAACTCACACAAGGATGATCTGTACCCCCTCTCTGTACACTTTCCCTCCCACTCCCTCTCCAGCCCTCCCGGTTCGAGCTTTGTTCCCCATCACGACACTAAGACCACTCTTGCCGAGGTCACCTTGACCTCGACAGTGCCAAGTGGATTCACTCCCTTCCGCGTGAAGCCCTTCCTTCTCAGTTCTCACGGGCCCTGCGCTTTCCAGGCTCTCCTCCTGCTCCCTGGTTGCTCCTTTGCCAGTTTCTTCTTGTCCCCCAGATCTTAAAATGTTGGACGGCAGTGGGCCTCAATCTGCAGGGCTCCGCCATTGAACCTCTTCTCTCAACGCAACCTCCACCAGGAATTGTATGGCTTTCAATACCCTCCGTGCTCTCAGCCCTCTGTTTACATCCCCTTCTCCTTACCTTAGAGAGCTGCATCACCCACTCTCTAGTCAGCATCTCCACTTATAGGTCTGAAAGTCATCTCAAAAAACTCTTCTAAAATTTTTATTTATTTATAGTTGGCCATGCTGGATCTTCATTGCTTCTCATGGGCAGGTGGGGGCTACTCTTCAGTTGCGGTGCTTGGGCTTCTCATTGTGGTGGCTTCTCCTGTTGCAGAGCACAGGGTCTAGATGCTCAGGCTTCAGTAGTTGCGGCACACGCGCTTAGTTACTCCAAGGCATCTAGAATCTTCCCGGACCAGGGATCAAACCCATGTCCCCTGCTTTGGAAGGTGGATTCCCCGCCAGGGAAGTCCCTCGTCTCAAATTAAAAATGGCCAGAGTTCTAGCTTTCCCTTCTCCAGACCTGATCTTCTTGCAGTTTTTGCCATCTCTGTTAATGATATCACCTAATATTTGCTCAGGCCAGGAGCCCTGGCATCACCTTTGATACCTCTCTTTCATCCTCCATGCAGTCCATCAACAGATTCCAAGCGATCAGATCGCTTCTTACTTCTAGCCCGGCTGTCAGCCGTCCCCGGCCGTTCTCATCTGCCCAGGAGCTTTCCCACTTCCTGACATGCTACCGGGGGTGGTCTTTCCTGAATGTAAATCAGGACAGATGTAATTGGCGACCTTACAAATCCAGACTACAAGTTCTGCCTCTTACCCAGAGTCTAGCTGCCTCTCCAATCTCATTTTCTACTACCCTGGTACTCGAGCGCCCCCTAGTGTCTCCTGAAAATGGTGAGCACGTTCCCATCTCAGGGTCTCTGCCCTGGGGCCCTCTCAGCCTGCCAAGTTTGACCTCACCTCCTTCAGACCACCTCCTTCAGGCCTCAGCTCGAGCATCTCGGGGAGCCTTCTCCTCGCTTACTCACCTAAAACAGTCGTTGCTGCCCTTCTCTGTCCCTTTATATAACTTCATTTCTTCTTACAGTATGCATGGCATTATTATATATATTTGTTTATTTGGGATTGTTGGCCACATTTCCCACTAAAGTGTAAGCTGCAAGAGGGATTGTCTCCTTTTTTAGATGCCAGGCACATATTTAAGTGCTTAGAATTATTTACTGTATGAATGTTTTGACTTGTATTAGTGAATTTACATAGTAAATGTTTTGATTTTCACAGCTCAGATTGGTCCCCCAGATGTGCATTTAGAAGCTGAAGATAAGGCAATAATACTGAGCATCTCTCCCCCTGGAACAGAAGATAGTATCATGTGGGCTACAGATCGTTTAAACTTTAGGTATAGCGTCGTTATCTGGAAAAACTCTTCAAGTCTAGAAGTAAGCATTATTTTTATGTTTGATGTGAGAGAAGAATGACTTGAATTAATTGTAAAATTTGACTTTTTTTAAAGAACAGACTTCTCTTTTTTTTAATTATAGGAAAGAACTGAAACTGTTTATCCCGAAGATAAAATTTATAAACTGTCACCAGAGATTACTTATTGTTTAAAAGTTAAAGCAGAACTGCCTTTACAAAGTAGAGTTGGTTACTATAGTCCAGTGTATTGTATAAATACCACAGGTAAGAAGGAAGTTTTGCTTTCAATTCAGTTACTATATATATATAAGTTGTTTGTTGTTGTTCAGTTGCTAAGTTGTGTCTGACTCTTTGCAACCATATGGACTATAGCCCACCAAGCTCCTCTGTCCTCCACTACCTCCCTTTGTTTGCTCAAATTTATGTCCATTGAGTTGGTGACACTAACCGTCTCATCCTCTGCTGCCTTCGTCACCTTTTGCCTTCAATCTTTTCCCACCATCAGGGTCTTTTCCAGTGAGTCAGCTCTTTTCATCAGGTGGCCAAAGTGTTGGAGCTTCAGCTTCAGCAACAGTCCTTCCAATGAATATTCAAGGCTGATTTCCTTTAGGATTGACTCTTTTGATCTCCTTGCAATCTGTTAATTAATTGGCAGCCTTTTAATTTTGGCATTTTTCCCATAGTTGCTGAATTTCTTGTGTTGGTTTAGTAGACATCAAAACAAAAACATTCTCATGTTGATGTATGGCAGAATCCAAAGCAATATTGTAAAGCTATTATCCTCCAATTAAAAAGAAATACTTTTTTTTTTTTTCAAAAATATTTTAACAGCATTTACACAAGCAATAATGTTATTTGGGGTTTTTGTCTCAAGTAAACAGTAATGAAAATTCTGTGTAAAAGTCCAAGTATTTTCTAATTACAGAAATTGTTTTTACTTGTTCAGAATCCATGAGAAGGGGAGATAGTCATTAGAAAAGCAGTTAGTATTCCAAAAAGCGTATGTTTATAGGTGAAATGTTAAATTATGAAAACATCCTGATACATTTTATCTGTGGCATCTTGGCAACAATTAAGGTTTAAGGATAGGAACTTGAATTTATTACTTTAATTTTAGATTTAATATGCTTTGTTCTTAAAATCAAGCCCTGTAGAAGGGAGTTAAAGGAAAGATCTCCTCTCCTGCTTCCTGACCCCATTCTGTTCACCAGAGTCAAGCATCCCCAGCAGTGCATGTACAGCCTTTCCTGTGTTTCCTCAGGGCTTATACTAGCATATACTCAGACTTCCAGTTTGGGGGTGTTCCATCATTTGAATTAAGGAATAAGGCTCTGTGTGCACTCTGCTGTATGTAAGATGGATCACCAGCAAGGGCCTGCTGTGCCGCACATGGAGCTCTGCTCAGTGTCACGTGGCAGCATTGATGGTAGGGGAGTTTGGGGGAGAGTAGGTAGCATGTGCATCTCCAAGTCCCTTCACTGTTCACCCAAAACTGTCATAGCATTATTAATCTGCTATACCCCAAACAAAATAAAAAGTTTAAAAAAATAAAAAATAAAGTCCTCTTGGGTATATTTTCTTGCTTGTCTAACCCAATATATTGAGGCTCTCTTTTTATGTCAACACATATAAATCTATCACATTCTTTTAAATGGCTGTGTAGTATTACCTTGTGTGAATACACACCATAATTTATTTAGCTATTACCTCATAATGATAAGATACAAGCCTTTTCTCTTCTTGCCCATTCTATTAAGGATTCTTGCCATCTGTTATCTCACTAGAGTAAATGTGTGTGCTTTCTTGTCTATTCCTTGTCGTCTAGAGAGACGTAATGTGCCTTCACCAGAAAATATACAAATAAATGCTGACAACCAGGTCTGTGTTCTTAAGTGGGATTACCCGTATGAAAACACAACTTTTCGAGCTCAGTGGCTCCGGTAAGTTCTGTTCCATAATGTCCTTTTGCAGCTTATTTTTGCACAGTGTGTGAGGTTTCTTTTCACTCTGCTTCAGCTACCTGTTGTTCTCTGCACACATTCGGCCTGATGGAAAGGCGGTTATGATGCATTGGAACTGGGCTGTTTAATTCTAGTCCCAGCTCTGCCAGTAACCATCTGGAGTATCACTGAGACCCAATCACTTCTTTGGGCCTCAGTTTCTTTACTTGTGAAATGGGTGTATTATAATATCTAGTGTCCTTAGTAGATGTTAGTCATTCAGTCATGCCTGATTCTTTGTGACCCCATGGACTGTAGCCCACCAGCCTCCTCTGTCCATGGAACTCTCCAGGCAAGGATACTGGAGTGTGTGGCCATTCCCTTCTCCAGGGGATCTTCCTGACCCAGGAAATGAGCCCACGTCTCCTGCATTGCAGGCAGCTTCTTTACCGTCTGAGCCACAGGGACTTACTGGCTCTTTTTTTAAAGGTATGATTCTAATTACATGTGTTATTTCCTCGGTCTGGAATTCTTGACACATGACCGAGATATTTTCTTCAAAACCCACTCCTTCCATGAGTCTTTGAAATGATCTCAGTCCAGTCACTCAGTCTAGTTCAGTTCAGGTCAGTCTCCTATTATCTTGATTGTTGTAATGACTTTGGCAGATTCCTTAGTGATTAGTGGGAAACTAAGGAAGTCAGAGAGAACTGTGCTCTGTGTGCTTGAGTAGAGACCAGCCAAACAGGAGTAAAGCTCAGCACGACATGAGTGAAAGAGGACTGGGTATAGTTCATGTTGATTGGAAAACTGGAGAGGGTAAAAGGAGAGGGAGAAGAGAAGAGGATAATCAAGTAGAAGGTGACGTGAACTCTGGCGGGAAAGGGGGACTACAAAGAAAGAGGTACCGAGGGCAGAGGAATCGTGGGACTAGAGGCGAGTGTAGGTCAGGTAGGGAAGAAAGAGTGAGAAGAAAGAGACTAAAAAGACAGAGAAAAAGTGAGGGAGAGGGAAGTCGATACTGCTGCAATTGATTCCTCTCCACCCTGCAACAACGGTCTGGATAATAAATGCATTCATGTGTGGAGTACAAATAACAAAGGTTGCAGGAGGTCAGAAATGTAGAGGTATGTGCAGGACCAGAGAGTCCACAGAAGCCACTTGGAAGGAGAGGTTTTGTGAAGGAGGCCTTGATTGTTGTTGAGTCATGTGTTTTTCAATGACGAGAGAGGGCGTTCCAGGCTGGGGCTACACTACACGGGAAAGCTCGGATATGAAGAGACCAAATCAGATCAGGGTAACGAGGAGGTATCCATTTCCTTTTGCTCTGTAGTAAACTAGCACAAACTCAGCAGCTTAAAAAACACAGCTTATTATCTCTCAGTGACTTTGGGTCAGGAATTCAGGTGTGGCTTAGCAGGGTCCTCTGCTCGGGGTCTCACAAGGCTGTGATCAGGGTGTCAGCCGGGACTGCTGTCTCATCCAGGCTGTCTCGTGGTGTCTCCTAAGCTCACGTGGTGGTTGGTAGAATCCATTTCTGACAGCTATAGAACGAATGGTGGCCTGCTGCCTCAGAGGCCGTCAACAGAGACAATCTCTGCCCCCTAGACCCTCCTTTAAAGGCTCATCTGATCAGGTTAGGCCCCACCAGGATAGGCTCTCATGTGATTAACTCAAAGTCCACTGGCTTGGGAACTTGATTTCATTTGTAAAATTCCTTCACCTTTGCCAACTAATGTAACCTAATCAAGAGTTCATGGGTTCTGCCTGCCCGCACTCAGAGGAGGGGATGATGTCGGGCTCATGCACCAGAGGGTAGGAATCTTGGGGGCCGGTTTGGAATTTGGTCCTACGAGAGGGGAAGCCCTGCTTCGAGAATAGCGGAACACTGGGCCTGGGAGAGCAGCGAGAGGGAGCATGGAGTTAACAGGATGGAGTAAAGTCAGGCTTCACCTTAGACTCTGCTACAGGCATTTGAGTGCCACTGGGGATCTGGTGTTGAGCGATGGGTAACATGAGGCCTGTGTTCCAGGAGCGTGACAATGGCCACATGGTGTGTGGTGTGGGGGACTGAAGACGAGGGAGCCAGCTCAGAGGCTACAGTGGTTCCGGGCTTGAACTGAGATGCTTGGAGCTGTTGGTCTCTGAGCAGTCTGTTAACTTCTCCAGGCCTGCTCTGACTGTTCAGACTTGCTCTCAGAACCCTGGTGTGTGTCTCAGCACTGACCCGCGGGTACACGTCTAGCAGCTGGCCTTCCAGAAGGAAAAAGCTTTACTTTAGTGTTTGCCGGGTTTTGTAACACAGCTAATCCTGCTGTGGCCACTTTCAGGCTCCCAGCAGCATGTCTGTCCACTGGACATGAAGTTGGAAAGAGGCACAGTAAACCTTCCACCATATTCTACTGTTCAGACATGATAGATGTAAATAGCATTGAGCATAGATAAAATGTAGGGAAAACAATTGGGACAAGATGAGTTTTGCATTTTTATTACTTTAGTTTTTCATACAACATATTTATTTGTAAGTTTATGTAACTTTTAACAGTGGCTGCATTTAACAGCTAGCTGGTAACATTCCTGAAAATTTAGCAGTTGTTTTTGTGCACCAGCATGAGCCAACCCTTCACACTACTTCCTTATCACACGCTTGAGCAAGGTCTTTGGTTTTCTTTTGTGCACGTATCTTTTCCACTTTGCTGAGTTTCCCAAGGGTGAGGACAATTTATCTCTGTAACTTTGACCCCTAACAGAGTGTCTGGCCTATTACAGGTACTCAGTACATGTTTAATGAACTAATGTGTTTGGAATGAAAAACATCTTTTTGTCTTAAAGTGCCTTTTTTAAAAAGATTCCTGGGAAACATTCAGACAAATGGAAACAAATACTGAACTGTGAAAATGTCACAACTACCCGCTGTGTCTTTCCTCGAGATGCTTTCCCAAATGGAATTTACTATGTCCGTGTACAAGCATCTAATGGAAATGGTACATCTTTTTGGTCTGAAGAGAAGAAATTTTATATTGAAATGAAAAGTAAGCCAATAGTTTTTATTTTATTTTGTGATTCTCCAAGTATGAATTCTTTACGATTGTTTTGTAGTCTAATTTGTACTTTATGTCTTTACACATTTTTTTTCCCAGCTGTCATATTTCCTCCAGTCATCAGCTTGAAATCCATTACTGATGATTCACTGCATGTCAGTGTCGGTGCTTCAGAAGAGTCTGAAAACATGTCTGTGAATCAGCTCTACCCACTAATTTATGAAGTAATTTTTTGGGAAAACACTTCAAATGCTGAGGTAAATAGACTGTGTAGTACAGGTTTATAACTCAGAGTTATGACTATGATTTGAGTAAGCAAAGCTTGAAGTTAAAATTGCAGGGAAATTTTTAAACTTTTAGGCTATATGATTAACTCAGATATTTTTGACAGGAAGAAATTGGCATTTCATGTTTTACATGGTAAGAGTTACGGTCAGCTGTGTCTGAGTCCCAGTTAGTTGTTGTTGGTTTGGGGGGGTTTTTTGGCCTCACCAAGTGGCATGCAGAACCTTAGTTCCCTGATCAGGGAAGGGAACTCGTCTGCCCTGAAGTAGAAGCATGAGGTCCTAACCACTGGACCACCAGAAAAGTACCCCCAGCTACTTTCTAAAAGTCAGATCCTGAGTTCATTTGTACTCAGTCAGAATCTCTGAGGGTAGAACTCAGGAATTTTTATCATGATCCTCAGGTATTCATGAACCAGGGTTTCTCAGCACTGCTGACATTTGGGTTGGACGATTAGTTGCAGGAGCTGCCTTGTGCATTATAGGATGGCGAGCAATACCCCTCCCCTCTCCTCCCTAGGTGCTGGTAGCCCTCCCTCCCAGGTATGACAACCCAGACTACCTCCATGTAGTGCCAGACATCGGGGCACCTCCATGAGGACAAAAACTGGTTTTTAGGGGACAAAAGACTCTTGGCTGTTATCATGCTTTGTGACCCTAAAATTCAGAAACCACTGACAGGCTAATGCACATCAGATAATCCATATTATACCTAGATCACTTTTCCCTGTGGAATTGCCGTCAAGGAATCAGCCTTTAAAAATCTGTACAGTTAAGTTGGTGAATTTTGCACCTTCATTTCCTGCCGAAAATCTACGGAAAGCCCAGTGATTCGGACACTCATTTCGCCTGTCTGGAGGCTGTGACCGTCGCGCAGGTTAGCCCTGCTGAGGGCTGCGGTTGGCCCCCAGTCCTCCCTGGTGGCTCAGGCGGCAAAGCGTCCGCCTGCCGCGGGAGGCCCGGGTCCCGCCCCTGCGCTGGGAAGAGCCCCTGGAGGAGGGAGTGGCAGCCCACTCCAGGACCCTCGCCTGGAAAATCCCATGGACAGACGAGCCTGGCAGGCTACAGTCCATGGGGCTGCAAAGAGTCAGACACAGCTGAGAAACTTCACTTTCACTAAGTCCTCCCTAGATCTGGAAAACCTGAATTTGTGTCTCAGACTACCAAATGGTGTAACCTCAGGCAAGGTGCTTAGCCACTGAAACTTCGTTTTCTCTTCTCTAAAGTGGCGGGGGTCATAGCAACTTAATTTTTTTTTAACAGATATTTATAAGGTTTAAAATGAGGTAGTATTTATGGAAATACCTACCACATTGCTTGACAGATAGAGATTCAATAACCTTTGTTTGCCATCCTGTCTTATGCTGGGTAAGACATCAATAATTACAGTCATAATAACAGCTCATATTTATTGGATACTCATTATGTATCTGGTACCAGGCCAAGTATTTTATATGAATTGTCTCAGTCAGTCTTCCAAGCAACCCTGCCAGACAGTTGGATCGATTAAATTACTCTTCAGCAAATACTTGGGATGGAGTATCCATTACTGCTTCGCTGATGCTGGGCTGTAGGCAGTGAAACTTGAGTGGATGTGGTATGACTGAGGCCTTAAGTGCACCTTTGTGTTTTGACTTGGCCCTTGTGCTTCTCCCATTTGCCAAGAGGAAAGCAAGCTCCATGTGGCCTGTGGGCCAAGGCGGACGAGAGATTGTGGAGCACACCTGAGTGTGATCCACTGCCTCAGAGAGAGCTCCCCCAGCCAATCCGCTCACGAGTAACAGAAACAAATACGTTCTATATACATGTGCATGTGTGGCTGAGCCCCTTTGCTGTCCACCTGAAACTCTCACAGCACTGTTAATTGGCTGTACCCCAATACAAAATAAAAAGTTTAATTATTTTGAAAAAAAGAAAAATGCATTTTGAGCCGGGGCTGTTTTGTCACACCGCGTTGCACACTGGTGTTTTGCCCTTGGCATGTTTTATTACACCACAGTAACAGGACAAGCAACAGCTGGCTCATACAAAGAGGAGTAGTAATCTCCCTCACTTTACAGATCTGGGAATAGGGCCCAGGGAAATTAAATAACTCGCCTAAGGCTACATAGCTGTAAGTAACACCTTGATACAGGCAGTTTGAGACCAGACCCCCCTGCACTTAATTGTTCTGCCACTAACCAGAGGTAACACGATGGTAATTCAGCCAAATCCGTATGTACTGATAAAATAACTTCGAGTTGTCTTAGGACTATATGGTATTCTTTTGGCAGCAGCATGTTTCACTTTTGAGTTTGGTAATAGTTTTGTTGTCCAAAATAAATTTATATTTCTTAAAATATACCAACCAAGTGTTTGGGAGAGGCTAATCTTAGAATGAATATATGAAGAATTCAGAAAACAAATATTCCCTCTATGATTTCTTGGGGTTCTAAATTTTATCAATGATTTACTTATTTTTTTATAGAGAAAAGTTCTAGAGAAAAGAACCGAATTTACCTTTCTTGACTTGAAACCGCTGACTGTGTATTGTGTCAAAGCCAGAGCACTCATTGAAAATAACAGGCGGAATAAAAGCAGCAGTTTTAGTGATACTGTGTGTGAGAAAACAAAACCAGGTCAGGATCTTTTATTATACTTTTTCTTTTTTAATGTCACCAGATTTAATAAAAAATAACCAATTTATTGAAAACTGTAAAATATTTGTGTTTTGCTGCAAAAATATAGAGAGTATTTTCTTCAACTATGTGAGTCAAAATCAGAGCTTCACACTGACCTTCACAAAACTTCACACTGAGTTTTAGAAAATATTTTTAATACTCAACTTAGTTCAGTGGTTTTTGCATGCTTTATATTTCATGCATACCCACATAATTAATTTATTTTATTACTCTTAGAATTTAATGAGACTTTTATTTTTTACATAACCTTTGATATAATTATCATGTGGAAATCCCTTAGTTGTGAATTTTTTATGTTATTGGTATTATTTAACAGAATGTAAACTTCCTTTCACATGGCTGTATTTCTTTCACACAAACTGTCAGCAGTCTTAATGCAGTTGGGTGTCAAAACCTATATTGATGCTAAACACTATTTGTTTCTTTTTTAGGAGACACTTCCAAAACCTGGCTTAAAGCTGGAATTTGCACTGCATTGTTTTCTCTTCCTGTGGTCATTTATGTTGTGAGACTCTTATTGAGAGGTGTCAATTATGTGTTCTTTCCATCAAGTAAACCTCCTTCCTCTGTTGACGAGGTAGGTTACTTTTCTTGGTCAACAGCTAGCTGGATTTTTCTAAAAATGAAAGGGAAATATATTTGATTTCAACAGAATATAAATGTGTTCCTGATATTCAAAAAATAATACAGACTGACCTGGGTTTTTTCCTTCTGAGTTTCATAAAACTAACTTCAGAAGCAGTCATTTAATGGAATGTAACATGGAATAGTAGGATGTGTCCTTATTTTTCTGGCAGCTTAGCTGCTGTGGCACTTGTTTTACAACGTATATTCCCAAAAAGGTTAAAACATTGTTGCCAGTGCAAAAACTTTATTTTGTGGATGAAATCACAGAAAACAAGATAGAGAAACATGCACCTCGGTGTTTTGGTTGGCACGTCCTTGCTGTTGGCATAGTTAGTGAAAGCACGAAGTGATGACCGTCAGCGTGGACACTGCCCTGAGGGGTGGCGTCTTCACCTGGACGCCTGCCTTGTTTCAGGTTCACAGGCTTTAGAGATGGAGGCTGTAGTGTGTTTGCACTCACTGGCTGTGAACCTGCGTAGCTCAGTTGTGAGCGCTTGCGCAGGTGCCCGTAGCTATAAAGCAGCACCATCCTGTGGATCTGTGAGGGGCGAGGGAGGGAGACCAGAAAGACCCGCCACTGTGCCCACGCTCTGTGCCCGCGTGCTGTTGCACCCTCTTATCCCTGAGTTTTCTAGTGTCATTTCTATATGCTCTTCTAATTCAGAGCTGTTCTTTAAAGAACTGTAAGATTAGCAGGTTACAACAGCTCATTACTTAGCCCAACTGGCGAAAAGTTAACTTCTCCCTTGTGCTTCTTCTGGATATTTTCAGATTGGGTACCAGCATTTTTATTATTTCACAATAAAATGTCCCCAATCCCAGTGCCCTCCCATTGCTTCCTTACCCACCACGCTCTTCCACCTCCTACCCCTCACAGCACAGTGGACTTCCTTAGAAACTCTTTGGATAATTCCCAGAACAGTACTGAGATGCATGTGACCTCACTGGTGGTGCTTTTATTCTAAACACGGTAGTGCAGTGGATATGCTCCTAGCTCGCTTTTTAATCTTCATGTCTAAAGATGGATAAAGGATTTAAGAAACTGAAGCTTATTGGAACTTGAAAACTACTTTTTGTTCTTTTAAATAATCTGTTTCTGTTCTTTCCCTTTTGAATTAGTATTTCTCTGATCAGCCACTAAAGAATCTACTCCTTTCTACTTCTGAGGAACAAACGGAAAGATGTTTTATAATTGAAAATGCAAGCATTATTACTGAAATAGAAGAGACTAATGAAATTGATGAAGTTCACAAAAAGTACAATTCCCAAACTAGTCAAGATTCAGGAAACTATTCAAATGAAGATGAAAACAGTGGAAGTAAAATAAGTGAAGAGTTTCTGCAACAGGACAGTGTGTGACCAGGAACAAACCCTAAAACATTAGGGAGTCTTGCATGAGTCAGAGTGGGAGCCTGGGCTTTTTCCTCTTCTCAGTAACTGTCAAAAGAAGTTTGCCCATGTAGAGGAAGAAAAACCATCTTCAGATCGCAGGTCCTAAAAATACAGGCAAGCCCTTCACTATTTAAAATGAGTTTCGAGGAGTTTTCTGTATTCTTTGCCATGTGTCAAGTCTTGAAAGACCTGTCATTGGACCTGCCTTGGATGAGAGGTGTTAAATCCAGAAGATGCCCCCTGGCTCCCTTGCGTTACCTTAAGCACCACTGTCCTGTCAGGGGTTTGGGGTGCTTGTGTTCCCGTCAGCTGGTGTGGTCACTGTGCATCATCGTTCCTTCTCCCTCGCAGCATTACACTTCACTGTTTTTCAGGAGGTATTTAGAATATTTGGTCTTGTTCAAAGAAGAACCTGAATACCACCATCACTTGATTTTCTGAAAAAGTAGCTTACTCTGGAAAACAGCTGCAGATGCCAGAAACATGGTCCTTATAGATTTTCAGGGGAATTCTGTTTATACCAATCACATTTATACCAGTTGCAAGAGATGTGGATTCAGTCCTTGGGTTGGGAAGATCCTTTAGAGGAAGGCATGGCAACCCACTCCAGTATTTATGCCTGGAAAATCCCATAGATGGAGGAGCCTGGTGGGCTACAGTCCACAAGGTCGCAGAGAGTCGGACACGACTGAAGCAACTGAGCGTGCATGCATGCATACCAATTACATTAGCCTCTACATCACAGTCACCCATCCCTTCCACAGTTTAGGATTAAAACCATGTCATCTTTTACTATATGTATGTTAAGCCTTCCTGTTTCAGAACATTAGGACAGTAGCTTCTGATTAGAAGGCATAATCCCTAAAATTACAGAGAAATGGGAAACAGTCTGAGTAGAGAAGTTACTGTTATCTCAAGATATGGGAGTGTGTGACATTAGTGACAGTGTATATAAAGTCTTGGGATCAGAAAATGCTACTGACAGAGTAGAGTGAGTCAGTGGGAAAAAAGCAGGTGGCTTTAGTGAAAAAGAAGAATGTGTATCGTCAACTTTTGATTGCTAACATCCTGAGGGGCGGCGTTTGCTTTCATGGCTCATCTGTGTCATTTCTTAACAGCAGGCCAGTGCCTGTCCACTGTGGGGCAGTATTCAGCTATCGCTTCCGCTATCCTGCATGCACTCAAGTTATTTATCATCAAAGTGTGGGAGGAAATGAACTAGGAAGGAAACCTAATTTTTTAAAATTATGTACTACCTCTTAAAGGCATCTATAGCTTATGTTTAAATGATTTTGCTATTTGGGCTTGTTCGTGGAGCTCCTGCAGAGAAAGGAAGCGTAGGAATTCTGGCTACCTCTGACACCAAGTTCTCAGCTTCAGTCATTGCAGCGGAACTGAGAGGGAAGAGAGATGGCACCACCCAGCGCATCAGGTCCAGCTGGGCTCGTTTGGAGTAGTCTGCGGGGTCTTCTGGCTGGAAGAAGAGGTTGAAAGCAGCTGGGAAGGCCCGTGACGCCCGCCTGTCCTCTCCAGAGCACCTTGTGCTCACTTGGGCCTCCCTTCAGCCCCTCGGGGAGCACACGGGTCAGGGGGCCCCCACCAGGGCCGTTCTCTGCTGCAGAATCCTTCCAGGGACCCAAACGCACCTCTGATCCCCTGACCAGAGGCATTTGGTTTACAGCAGATCAGGGTTGGCCCTTCGCTGGGAAAGGTCCCGTCCATCCGTGGGAAATTGTCACTGTCCAGAGGACCCCGCCCCTGATGGCTTCCGCGCTGGGTCAGGGCTGCCGGCCTGCCCCGCACTCGGGCCTGGGATTTTCCACAGGAAAAATGCTGTTTCGGACTGGGAACAGTGCCTTTGTGGGACGTGGCAGAGGGAAAATTAGGGCATTATAAGGCAGAGACACTGCTGAATTCGCTAGGTACCTGGATGTGGGAGTATGTGTGTCTTTGGGATTTAAGATGCCCTGTGGTTTTCAATGAACAAGCATCTGAGCGGCCTCGAACAAAAACCCCTCTGTTTTGCTGCATCTTGCAGACCTGAAAATGCAGTTCCATCCCATTCTTCATTGTGGTCCACATGTAGCTTAATCAGGATGTGCTTGCTTGTAAAATGGTATTTTTTTCTGAAAAAATAGTTTGCTCGCAAATACTGTATACTTGAGAGCAGCAATAAACTTCCTCAGAACTGTGATACTGATAGCTCTTGGAGAGGCTGGATATAATCTAAGCGTTTATGTAGAAGATTTGTGTCGTTACAGCCAGAAATCATGTATTCATATGTAATATAGATTAATATATACATAGTGACATGGATCTGTAAATATACATGTACACACGCATGATACTGGCTACTGTGCCACTAGTACATCCATAAAGACTTAGAATAGATTCTAGTTAGAAAAGGGTAAATGCTGCTCTAGAACTATGAACTTCAAAATCTTGACCAGAAATTTGCAACATATAAAGTTATTTCAAAAATATAAATTTAAGGACTTCTTGGTGGTCCAGTGGGTAAGACTAAGCTCCCAATGCAAGGGCCCCAGGTTTGATCCCTGGTCAGGGAAACTAGATCCTACATGCCACAACTAAGATCCAGCACTGTCAAATAAATTTTTTTAAGTATATGTATAGAGAGAGTTTGTATAACATCTTTTCCCCAAACCTACCTTCAAAGCAGCCTCAGATTGCTCCTAAGAATTTGGAAGTGTACAGAAACTTTTCCTACCTCCTCCCCATCCCTGTAACCCTTGTACTACCTGACACGTTTGTGTTCGTTTCATCTGGTATCTGTCTGCCCCTGCCCGGGGACCAGAAGCTCTGTGAGCCCAGGAATATACACTTAGCACTGTATCCCCAGTACCTACCAGAGTGCAGTGCCTCGTGCGGAAAAAGTGCATAGGAAATAATTGTCAAGTGACAGAAACCTAAAATTTGAACCAAGCGGGTGTTTCTGTTTGTGTGTCTTATTGAGGTATAGAAGGACATGGCTTTATTTCCAGTGTTTCTATGAAAGCGCAGCCAGTGTTGCCAGTATTTGTATCTTCTTTCGTGTGTACTTTGTCTTAATGCCCACTGCCGTTCTCTTTTAAACAGTTTAACAGTTTCTGTAATAAACACTGAGGCCAAAAGTCTTGGGTTCCATGGTGGTTTTGCTTGAGGTGATTGAACTTAAGCATCTCGGGTGCTGTGGCTGCTGCCTTCGTGAGGTGTTCGTAACAGAGGGGGCTGGCCCCGTGCCGGGCGGGCCGCCTGGCGTTGGTGTCCTGAAGGGGCCACCCCTGGGCGGGGAGCTCTCACACAATCTTTGCTTTTTTCCCACCACCTCGGGTTCAGACTTGGCCAGGACACAGCCTTGAGCCAGTGGGTCTGCAGTCGTAATGCAGACCTTGCCCCCTCAAAGCATGCTGTTCCCTTTTACCAAGGTTTCTCCGGATATGCTCTTGCAGGAGACTCCCCAGTCCCACATGTAAATTGATCTGAAGTTAAACACCATTGACATTCAAGCTGAGAACTCTCATCATGTGTTTTTAGTAAGCATCCTCAAATATCTTCCCAAAATGTACAGGGAAGTGAATGTTAATAATTTCATCTCTAATGCACAAGAGACACCCTGACACTAGTGACAAATACCCATAACATCCTTTTTTTTTTTCACTTCAGAGGAAAGACAAAAAGAATTGATACATCTTTCATACAAAGGATATACAGTATCAGTTTCCTACCATATTCTGTCCCCACTAGAACTCATGTTCTAGAAGAAGCTATCTTCTGCATGGTAGCTCATGTCAACAGCTCATGGTAGTTGACTGACTGTGAAAAGAAAAAATGGGCAGTCGATATTCTGGCTTAGAAAAAGGTCTTGGGAAGAGGGAGAAAATGGAAAAATTCCGTCTCTCAGTAGCACTTATAAATTAAACATTTCTCAGTCTTCCCTAGCGGTCCAGTGGTTAAGACTCCAAGCTCCCAGTGCAGGGGGCAGGGGTTCAATCCCTGGTTGGGAAAGATCCTGCGTGGCATAGCCCAAGAAAAGTTACTCAATAAACATTTCTCCTCACAGTGACTTGCCAATCCCTCCGCGGTTGTACTTCCCCAGATTTGCTGGATCCATCAGAAGGAGCAGAGGGGAAAGTGAATGACTGAATAAGAAGAAAACATTTTCTTATCTCTCTGCTAGAAAGATGGACCATTTTTCCAAAAGACTGGATTTAGGCCTTAAATGTATGATAAAATAGCAAAGTGCCTTTTTGTGTACCACTGTCTGATCCAGATTTTATAGTGTTTTAATCTTCTGGAATTTAACTTTTAAAAAGACATAGAGAATTTCCTGGAGGTCCAGTGGTTAGGACTCCAAGCTTTTCACAGCTGTGGACCCAGGTTCAGTCCCTGGTCAGGGACCTAAGAGCCCTCATGCCGTGTGGAGCAGCTAAAAAAAAAAAAAAAAAAAAGATTCTGAGTGTTTCAGAATAAAGGGGCACCATCCAGTCTGAAATCTTCCGGGAAGACCACCATGTGCCTACATGGAAGTCACCTTTGTGCCCACCTGTACCTTCAGAAATGGTACGGAGCTAACAGAAGGAGAAGATATTAAGAAGAGTTGGCAAGAATACACAGAAGAAATGTACAAAAAAGATCTTCATGACCCAGATAATCACGATGGTGTGATCACTCACCTAGAGCCAGACATCCTGGAATGTGAAGTCAAGTGACCCTTAGAAAGCATCATTACGAACAAAGCTAGTGGAGGTGATAGAATTATAATTAAGCTATTTCAAATCCTGAAAGATGATGCTGTGAAAGTGCTGCACTCAATATGCCAGCAAATTTGGAAAAGTCAGCAGTGGCCACAGGACTGGAAAAGGTCAGTTTTTATTCCAATCTCAAAGGCAATCCCAAAGAATGCTCAAGCTACTGCACAATTGCACTCATCTCACATGCTAGTAAAGTAATGCTCAAAATGCTCCAAG